TTTTATCTTAATGCATTATGTCAAAGTTGCTTAGGTCTATCTTCTTCATTGGGCCTCTGTTTGAGCTTTTCAATAAATAGCATTACTCATCTAGAATGCGTCTTCTTAGTCCCACATTGTCTTGGTGTTGTGAGGGTGCAGTGTGCTTTATGAAGTTGGTGCCCCTAGGGGTCAGAGTACTCCTTTTACGGTGCAATTGGTTTCTTCCTTTGTAACCATGATCTCAAGTTCTTTTACATATTTTAAAGAAAAATGATTACTGTGGTCTTCAGATTTCACCGGCATTGATAATTTTGATGTACTTTACAGAGAGAGAACCAGCGTTCGGCCACTTGGCTTTAAGCCACAAGCCTGATTCTAATCCTTTTGGTCAAAATGACATTACTCTTGACTCTGCTGCGTTACAGTCAGCAAAGTGGATCATGAAGGAAAGTCAGAACAGGGTTTCATGTGGTTCGAAGGACAATGAAGAAGATGCTGGTCAAGTACCATATGTGAAAAATGATGAAAATGGCTTGCCTACATCGAGGTTTGATTGTTCAAAGAGTGTGGATGATTTGGAAAATGGTAATGAAGATGAGGTCAAGGATTTTTTGCCGCCATATACTCTTTCTTCTGAAAAATTAGAAGCATTAGAGAAGGAATCAGATTATTATATGGACAAAAGTGTTATGGAATGTGAACTGCCAGAACTGATAGTTTGTTACAAAGAGAGTAGTTGCAATACAATCAAGGACATCTGCATTGATGAGGGGGTGCCTTCCCAAGACAAGAACCGGTTTGAGACTGGTGTGGATGAGAAGGAATGCTGCACCTTTTTATCTCCTGATGAGGATCAGAATAAGCAACTTCTTGAAGAACAAATGGATATCGTTATGACCCTTCCAGACCGTTTTAAATCTTCTGCACACGATGATTTAGAGAAGGGTTTTGTCATTCCTTGCGATTCCAAGGATCTGACGCAGATAGGCGATGCTATATATTATACACAGGAGAAGACTGAAATTGAAGTTTCCAAAGAGATTTTTGTCCCTGCAAATGTGTTGCCAATGCAAGAGTTGGGTGCGGGGAACGCCCACTCCTCCAAGTCTTCTAATGAGGACAGCACTGAAGCTGTACAAGACACTGTTCAGGTATATCTCTACCCAAGTACATGTCTGCGGTTGTACTGTGTAACTGACAGCTCTATAACGATCTCTTTCTACTGGAATATTTTTAAAATTTCTCAGTGGAAGTTAAAATTTCAGCTTGATGTTGAGGAAAACTATATTTTATAACTTGATGTAGTTTCCTGTGGTTTTAATGTAGAGTTCAGGTGAAAAAGTAAGTGAAATAGCACAAACTGGGAGCACTGCTGTGGTTTCAGTAACTGAAGAGTCTAGTCATGGTGAGAAGAAAGCATTGGTTTCAGCAGCTGAAGAATCAAACTTCCATGTCGATGAGTTATCTAACAATAGCAAGGTGGAGAACGGAAGCACTATTTCTGGCTTGTTGGACACTTCAGAACATGTATCCACTACCAGAGATGCATGCCCTGAAAATGATGTCCGCAAACATTTTGAAACTCAAACGATGCCTGCAGGTGATGATGGCGATGACAACGACGGCAACATGCCTGATGCAGAGATTGTTCCAAGCCAAGTTCAACCTTGTTCAGCACCTGTGGTTACTGGCAGAGAGGAGTGTCCTGAGAATGGAGTCTGTCAACCTCTCGATACTTCAAGTACCTCCATGGTTGATGATGAAATTCCTCATTCAGTGATTGTTTCAAGCCAAGTTCAACATTATTTAGCACCTGTGACTATTTCCAGAGAGGAACGTCCTGAAAATGGTGTCTGGCAATGCCCTGAAACATCAAATGCATTCGTGGTTGGAGATGTGAATTCTGATACACAATATGCTTCATTCCATGTTCAACGTGGTTTCGGAGAATCAAGTTTCTCTGCAGCAGGTCATTTTTCGAGTCTTATGAATACATCAGGTCCTTATTCTGGCAATGTCTCCCTTCGATCAGAGAGCAGCACCACCAGCACCCGCTCATTTGCCTTCCCTGTGTGAGTTACTCACAAACTCGTTTGTCTGTCTTTTTCTTTTCAAACTGTTAATAAAGTTCCCAGAATATACATGACTGAGACATTGATATATCTTCTTCCTCTTTGACATGCAGATTACAATCTGAATGGAATAGCAGTCCAGTTAGAATGGCAAAAGCTGACCGGAGGCATTTGCGTAAACAAAGGGGTTGGAGGCATAGTCTTTTTTGCTGTAGATTCTGAATATGCTTCTATTCTAACCATAGTTTTAAGTTAAGTCAGAGTACATGCTTCATCAAAAAATTTATCATATCTTATTTTATCATCAATACATACATCACATTTTCTCCGTCTTGGTATGTAATTTGCAGTAGGTTTTTAGGTGGTGGTGCTTTTGTTATGCGTGCACTTTAAGGTGTAAGCAATAACTTATAATTTTCTCCTTTATATTTCATCCATTTATTTTTTCTTTGGAAAATTAAAGTTATTGTAAAGTTCTTAATAGGCCAAATAATCCTGTTTATATTGGGCTTTGGATGGTTTGCTTGTTAAAGGTGGGTTCAAACCTTATACCTATCCGACCTAACTCTTACAGTGGCCTAAGAGCAACTCTACTCATTTGCCCTTTGCTATGGTAGGGGGGGAAGGGCGCGGGGGCTAGGGCAGTCACTATTCATGTGAATAGTGGTTGCCCTTGCAAAAAGGCATTTCCGTTTCTACCCGTTGCCATGACAAAAGGCAATTACTATTCATTTTTTTGTTTTTTTTCACAAATTTTTTTACCTCAATAATTAATTTGGATAATATTTTCGGGTTCCTAAGTGTCAAAACTATTCATATCTTATAATCGAATAAAATTTTCAATTTCAAATTTCAGATAAATTTTTTAAAAAATTGGCTTGTATTTATAGAAAAAAATTCATTAATTTTTGGGTATTTTAAAAAAAAATTTCCGAATTTTTTCCAGTATTTTATTGCAAAAAAAATTGGCTGTAGTTGGATTGGAGGAAAAAATCCAATCGGAAAACCCAGACGACGCCATGTGGCAACAGAAAAAAAAAAATCAAATGAGTGGGTTGACGCCAGCCTGGCGTCAGCAATGACATCAGCCCAACCCTCAGGCTTGAGCTCGGGCTGAACTGGCCTGAGCGCCAGCCCGTCTTCGTGGGTCCCACTCCCAACCCAGGCTTGGGCTTCTCGTTGGAACGTCATTTTTCCCCCCAGCCTTGGGCTCAGCTCACCGGTGGAGTTGCTCTAATGTGTTCGTAGTTGGTGGCAAATGCAACTCAATACTAAAATATTCAAAACTGGTTTCTTTAATTTAAATTTTTGTGAAACTCGAGCTATATTATTTGTTGATAGCTTGTACAATCACCATAACCTAAGCCTATTATGAATCGCCACGTGGCTATAACAGATCACTTGTCTACCGACCTGACTATACACGAAACATGTGTAACCATCGCCGACCTTCCCAGTTAGAGGGTGACGAACCCAAGGAGTAGTCCAGTGGTTGGGTGTTTAAAAGTCTACCCGACCTCTAAGGCAAGCATCCTCGGGCCCGAGGCATGCTAAAAGGCTAGCATACCTGACCAGGCCCTTGTCAAGCCAATCAGTTTTTGTCCCTATGATACAAAGCCTAGCTAACAAGAGGGTTGATTAAATGCACATCCCATCCTCAAATAGGTGTCGCCGTATCCATTGATCTCTGAGTGAACAAGCAGGTGATGGAAAATGATCATTTAATTCACCTCCCATCCTTAGTTGCCTGTTACTTCGCCACCTGATCTCTGTCCAGCTATATAGTGATCAGAGACAGAACATTCAATGCAACTTAGGCTAGGAAGACAGGAGATAAAGATCTTTTCTAAACAAAATATCTTGATCCCCTCTTCTCCCTATGAATACCCTTCACCTACACCAAGACAAAAGTAATAAATCCTCTCGTAGTAAAAAACCCTACATCCATTCTCTCTCTAGCTCAAGTTAGTTTCTGACTTAACCATTAGAGAGGGTTAGACTGGGATCAGCACCAGTCTTATTCTGATATTGCTCAAAGTATGCAAATCTTCTCTTGGAGATTATCCATACTCAAAGGTCCAATACGGGCCCTAGCCCTCGGATAGGGCTCAAGTCATTTATACGAGAAGGATACATGGTTTACATTATTATCACAAGAATTCTGTAGTGAGGATTTAATATATGGCATTTAGGTGAGGTCATATATCTTAATTGTTGGATTAAACTAGTTAGTTTGATCTAGCAGTTAAAAGATAGAACCTCACTTAAGGATTATATATAAAAGGCCCTCACTATACATAAGACACATAATAAGGTCATGTGTTCTTGTTAGCAAGGTTCATTAATTTTTCAATCAAGCTCGAATTTGTTGAAGTTTGATTACATTGGTATGATGACTTGGAATGACCAAGTCTAATATAGCATGGAGGTGAAGCCAATGCCCATGAAAAGAAAAGCAATTTCTCATGATCAATTGAATGATCCATTGAGATCATATGTGAGGTGGGCTTGCACCTTTTGAAAAACAGTCGAATATTTTCTTTCTCCCAATGGCCAGAAAAGGGTTGAGCCATACTTGAAGCTAAAACAGGTCTTAACATTTTGGGATGATGGATGAAGATGTTTGAATTCACATTTAACATTTGTTATAAAACAGAAACCAAGTGTGGAAGGAAAGGGCCCTACTGAATACTAGTATATAGTAGGTGACAAGACCAACCAAAATGGTGTGAAACCTTTTTAGAGGAAAGAATAGTTTACACAACTTTTCCATCTACTTGTATTGGAACTCTCTGTTTTGTGCTTTGTGTATCCTCTCTCTCTCTCTCTCTCTCTCTCTCTGTGGGTTGCCTACCACTACTACCATTCATTGATATAAATTCCAAGCCACACCCACAAAAGAAGTATCCTTATTCACAATTAAGCTTAGATAGTATGGAGCTGGTATTCTTCATTATGCTCTGCATTTTAGTCCTGTCTTTCTCTGCTTTGCTAACACCCTGCACTTCTTTGCATATTCAACTGCAACCATCGAATAAACAAGCTGCAGGTACTCCTCTCTCTCTCTCTCTCTCTCTCTCTCCATATATATATTATATATCAAGATTATAGCAAGTCTTACATGTTACCTTTTTACATTGTGAGCAGCGAACGACGAACTCCAATCCTCTCTCCCTACATTGCCAAGGAAGCTTAGATTCACTGAAAAAGTAACTGTAAGAATCCTTTCCTCAAAGTCTAAACAATAGAAGAATCTTCCTATTCGTCCTATCTCTTCTTAACTTAATCTCCATATTCTGTCACGCAGATTGCCGGACAAGAAGGTAAAGATTATGCACCTCCCAACAAGCAGAAGGAAAATGTTTCAGCCGCAGGTATATCTAGATATATTCATTCATAAAACTTGTTTATTTTTTTCATGACGCTTAAACTTAATATTTATCTTCTTCTTCTTCTTCTTCTTCTTCTTCCTCAGTATTGATAACATTAACAGAATGGGGTTTTAGGAATTTTTGTCAGATATGTGCTGAATTAGTCTTTATTTTCCGCATGGCTTTTTCAGGTGGTAATGATATTAAACCAAAATTCCAGAAAGAAAAAGAAAGTGTGCAAAGAAGCAGCGGAACATGGCAGGAATGGATGGAAGGGGAAGACACATCAGAGTTCTTCACAATGGATTATTCCAAAGTAAGAAGACGACGCCCCATACACAACAAGTCCCGCCCAGAAGTTTCTCCATAAAACATGAATGCATGCATGCTGCCATGGTCGACCATACAACAAATTAAAAGAGAAGAGATGATAGATATCAACAAAACTTTTAACTTTTGGTATTTATAGAAATTAATTATTAATGTTGTTATTGTAATATATAGTAGCGAAATGAGGAGAGTGTTTTGTTAACCAGCTCTTGTGGCCGACACCAGGGAGCAAAACCCAAGATTTGTTACTAACTAGGACGACCCTTGTCTTCCAATTAAATTAATTTATGTTCTTTTTGTTGAGTTGGTAGGTCTTTCGTTAGCAGTCAAACGGGGGCTACAAACCCCAACATTTGGTAACGTGGTCTCTCTCTGTCACACAAATTACAAAACTTATATATAGTTAATTATAGTATTAGGTGGAACCCAACCCAACTAATTTATAAGATTTTTTTGAGGCGAACGGGTTCCTTTAACTTGTATATTAGTGATTTCAGATGATGCATTTGTAATATACAAATGCGTTTGAGAAATTTCATCTTTTTTTATAGTTTAGATTATATCGTTTGTATTAAAACACACAAAATTATTTCGAACTTGATCATAGCAAACAAGTTTTGGTATATGTAGTGTAGCACAAGTGGGGGTTACCTTAACAGCATCCTCGCTGCAATCCATGCTCCACGGTGCCGTACATATTTGGCACATGTACTTGTCAACTAGTTAATTAAGCTTAGCTGCTTAATCAAGGGAATTATTATATTATTGTATATGCATGCGTTTTCAAGGGTGCCGTAGATCGATAATTCCAAAATGTTGACCAAGTTCCGTTTGAGTGGAGGTCACGTTTGCCACAAGGCCATCGACTCCCTTCTCCATGAGTTTGTTTGACGGTTTAAATCTATTAACTTTTTTTCTTTCTTGAAATATGCATATATAGGGGGTGCCGATTAAAAAATGAGTGTTGTTATTTGGATAATATGTATTTGCTATCATATGCTGTGTGGCATGTTGAATTGTAGTTGTGTTAGGACGATATGAAATCTAAAAAAGGAATGGAAAAATTGTTAGATTCTTTATGGCACGTTGAATTAATATTGTGTTAGAGCATCTCTAAGGGAGATGTCAAATACCAAACATCAAATTTAAATTTGATGGCTGATGTGACAATTTGACATCTTACACAGCTTTATACTCCACCCGATATGTCAAATTGAATTATTACTTTATTACATTTTAGTGTTGATTCATTTTTAATTAATAAGAAAAGAAAAGAAAAAAATAATAAAATATTCATTTGACATCTTACTTTTGGGATGTCAAAAATAACGTCTCAACCTGCAGCCTTCATTCCACATCAGCTTTGACATATCGGTTGGAGTGATGTGATATGTTATTTTTAGTTGTTAAATGTCTATGTGGCACGTTTGACACATCAGTTGGAGATGCTCTTACAAAGATAAGAAATTTAAAAGATAAATGTAAAAAGAGTTCGATTCTCTATTAATACTGTATATTGTACTCAAAATTACATTGTTTCAATGTTTTATTTTATTAAATTATAACAATGTAATTGTAAATAAGTTCTTTTAATATCTAAAATCTCATAAGTTGTCCTTACAGATAATGCTACACTTACCACATTATTATCCCACATTTCTATACCACATGATGTGGCATATGCCACATTAATTAAATGAATGAAGTGTATTTTAATAAATAAAATTAGAAAAACAAAAACTAGTATTTTACATGATGTGGTATATACACATCAGCTGCCACATCATGTGGTATAAAATTGTGGTATAAAAAATGTGGTAAGACTAGTGTTATTCATGAGACTCCAATATAAACCCATACAACTGATATCCCCTAGACACAAACCCATCTATCTATATAACTACGTTGAAAACCCAAATTCAAATTTAAATGACCAGTAGGATATAAGAGGTCGTAGTATTTCTATGTTTTTACATCGTTGCCACTAAACTTCATATTTTATTTATAATTTATTTCAAGCATTTCATTAACTGCCATAATTGTAATTAATATACTCCCTATTAATAGCATATCAATCACCCCATTTCTTTTAGTTGTCATTCCCTCTCACATCTCGCCCCCTAAAATTGCAAAC